CTACCGCGCTGCGCAGCGCTGCACTGGGTAATAAAAAGAATATACAACCGTTAGTTGGCGTCCTACACAGGCATGACGTTTTTACGAACGGGACTTTGCTCTCTTGTTCTATTTATACTCTTTGCTATCACTAATTGTAAATAGCACACCCTCTATTGTCAGCCGGAAGTTACATTATTATACAGCGCTCTCTCAGTGTAGTGTAGAAGGATCATAGACGATCGCGATTGTACATTGTAGTGTAATTGACCAGCAGAAATATCACCGAAGTATTCACTGAAAAATACACATTTTTTCGTAAGATATGGGGCATCAAGCTCCCAAATCTAAAAATTCTCGGACACACAAGCTACAACAGTCGGACCAACATGTTAGGAGAAGTCGGGCGGCTAAGAATTCGTCGTCTGAAGTCAGCCTTTTTGTAAAATATTTATTGTTCTTCGCCAACGTATTATTTTGGGTAAGTCTGTTATTATTGTTGTTTTAACAGGCCTATTCATACTTTTGTTGTTGGAATTGATCGTATTCTTCCTAGGTAATGGTTTGGAATGAAGCAAATTCGTACTGTTATTTCAGACTCTCAAATGAGATGCAAATTAATACCTTTGAACATCAAAACGAAAATATAGAAAAGAGGAAAGTCGGTTTGTACGGTATATTTCATTTATTAAAAAAATTTAAAATGTTGTTACACAGTTCAGTATGATATACTTCTTGCTTGGTGGAAAAATTGGTCTACTCATGGAACTATATAGCTCCATTATCTACTGTAGTTACGGTAGTCTAGGCTATGCAAACTTAACAAGAACAATCAGAACACCAGTAAGAATATGCGCTTGCCCCACAAACACGTGTGTCCCACATAAATTATGCATATGTTTACATACATTTCCCCTTCACCTTCGTTCCCCCTCCCATTTAACCCATTTTAAAACTCCTAGGTACGCCACTGGGCGGGGCTTAGCGGGAAGGATCATTCGATCTACTGCTCTCCTAGTGTTTTTCAAGTCGGCGGATGTATGCAAGTTTCAGTGGCGCACTGTCTTTTGGATGAGATGTTTAATGTTGTTTGAGCTCGCATATGCAATGTAGCCTATGTGCATGTTAAAGAACGTGGTACATTTTTTTGGAAAAGAGTAAGAGATTTTCTCCAAAAGGATCCCAATGGAAAAAATCTACAGACTTGTGGATTAATTATTATTGGGCGTTTCACACTGAATAAATCCAGTCGAATTCAACCCAATATTATACCCCTGGACATTAGATCCATATTGGCAAACCCTAGAGGAAACCAGGACAAAGTGCAGCATTCTTCAGTCCCTGGGAAGAGTACATCTGAGTCATGCTCAGATATCAAAATCCACTATTAGTTCCTTTCAGAAGTTGTTTTTTCAAATAATTCTTGTAATTCAGGAGTCAATGAAACAGAAGGTAGTGCTACATGTATGAGATTATCTGGTAATGGTGGGTACATGCATGTTTCTTAGCATTCCATAAAATTCACAATTTTTCAAAGAATTTAAGTCTGGAATTTTTATATATTTCACAAGGTTTGAACCAATTAAAGGAAGATTTGTATTGTTCCACATAATGACTTCTTATTAATGTCGATGCTAAACTATCATTATGTGCATGCATCACCACTTGGAGACACTACAGTATAACTTTAACACTAAGTTTTCATTTGCACACCTTTTTTCTTCAACTCATGTGCATGGCAGATGTTTTAAATTGATATTTTGTCCATTGGGTCCATATTTTCAATAAGTGTGTAAAAGTCTGCTTTAAAAAAATATGGGCCCTAAGTGGAACTGTTTCATTGATTTCTCAACAACCAACATTAAAATAATTATACTAGAGTAAAGCCCCTCTCCCACCTAGGTTTATTTCACCTTTCTACGAGTTAAAACTCGTGATCTTTGGAAAGGACCTATACGAGCTTATTACGTGTTAGCTACGAGTGAGGTACGACTTTATGGAGTTGCTTACGAGTTATGTACGAATTATGCCGAGCAGAACACCGAGTTAACTACTAGATTATTAGGAGTGTAACAAGTTTGTACCGAATTAGATACGAGTAGGTAAGAGACCTCTCCGAGCTTTCTGAATCGTCCTACAAGTTTTTGCCGAGTTTGCCGAGTTAGCAACTCGGCATTCTCTTGTAACTCGTATGCTGAAAAAACCCCTAGTGGGAGAGGGGCTTAACAATCAGTCTTTTTACAAAATGTATGCACAATGTTTATTCTTAATCAGCTGTTATCAATGTCTACCAACAGTCTAAAAAATATAAACAGTCTATGAAAACAGATATGACTCAGTATCCTAGCAAGATATAAACATTTCAACTGTTGTTCATATTAAAAACAAATTTTAAAATTGCACAATGTTCTTTATTTGACATGCTGTTTGCTGCAATGCATATCAATGCCATAAACTCTGATGCATCCTGTCTGGACTTTTCATTGGTAACAAGTGATTAAATTTAGTCTGTGATTCTAATACTGATAGTAGTTTTTTGAATGCCTAGGCCTACAACTTATACTTTGACTAGGTGAAACACTTTACTCTGGACTGTGATTTAGATTGAGGTATTATTTTTAACTGTACTGTAAAAGCCAAGTAAGAAGAAGGATCTCTTCCAGATTTTATGAAAAATTTATGGAGAAAGGCTCTCTTTTAAAATCAAATTTATCACTATCAGATCAGGTCATTACTAGTAACAGGGTGGATCCAGGGGCATGGGGATTATCAAATGGAAAGTAGAAAAGAGAGAAGAAAAGAGTAAGAAGGGAGCACAGTATTCTAAAACAGGCTAATTTTTAATTTAAATTCCATGTACCAGTGCAGGCCTGTAGCCAGAGGGGGGTCGGAGGGGTTGGACGACCCTCTCCCCCCCCCCTCGGCTGGGGTCACCCTTTTCCAGGCCAAAAATTTTTCTCATAGAGCTGCTAGACCTATAGCCTGTGGCCTGTGGATCTATCTCAGGCCAAACGAGCTGACGAGCATACTCGATGAGTAGATTTAATGCCAAAGACATCACCTAATTATGCCTTTTATTCATCTCGTACCCTTGTTGACTCATGCAGTGACACAGATATTAACTTTTAGTTCAGTCGAATGTTCTTGCCTATCTTGATTCTAGAGCGAAACATGGTCAAAATATCACCTCGTCCTGTGTATACTCCTTTGAATCATGATAATTATATTCAGCATATGCAAGGGTGTCAGCCTTAACTTTTATATGCTAAAAACACCATCATTCACAGCCTCTAGATTAAAAAATTTTCTGGGTGAGGATGCCCCCGAACCCCCCCCCCAGCAGCACATGCCATAGAGCATGTGCCTTCGGTACACATTGGGTCACGGAGGCACCCGTATAAAAAGGTCACCTTCGGCTAAAAAAAGACCCACCCCCTTGGAAGTCTGGCTACGGGCCTGCAGTGTCTATGGTCAGCTCCCACCCCAGATTGGTGCATTGCACATCGCATGGCCCCTACCCAGGACCTGCCCCTAGGTAAATTCTTAATAGTACATTAATTGAAATTGTATAATGTGCTAATTTAAAAATTTATCAAAGGCAAAGTTAATGCTCAAATGTCAAAAATATTTAAACTTTATTTTAGAAAGGCTGTTGCATACAGTAGATGGAAATGAATACAGTTATTCCAGTGACTTGCAACTTAAGTCTTTGATTTGGAATAATGTTGCTTTTCTAGGATTTAATATTCTGAGAAACACAGAGATGTAAAAAAAAAAGTGAAGATATTGTATAATGTATGTCTACTTGCTTCATTGCACAGGCTAGCCAAGTGCTTCAAACGTTGTTCAAAATTTACCTAAGAACTAAATTTCTAATTTTCATAATATTTTGAGTCGGATGTCGATGAACATGAAATGAAAGTAAATTGGATGGAGGATGTTAAGTCACGGGCTGATTATCAGGTGTGACGCAACACACGATTAGAACGACCAATGGTACAGTAGATCTGTGACATTGGATGGTGCGTGAAATAGATAGAGAATGATAGGTCATATGATCTAAATAGTAATATTATCAACCAAATATTTATAATAAGGCACCATTTTTGAAATGATCAAAACACTTTGTACTTTTGTAAATTAAAATTTGTTTTTACTAATGACAATAATAAATTATATGTACTTACTTTAGAGTACTTATTTATAAAAGTTTTGATTAAAGGCAAATATAGTTAAAATAAACACAATTCAATTCAGGATTTCCATAAAAATAAAGATTAAACAAAAGCAAGATTGCCAGAAACTACAGTATGTGGTGGGAATGGTACATTGGTAAATACGCATTAAGTAATGTAGAATTATGTTTCAACAGCCGGTATTAACATTTAAAAACAATTTAGAACCAATTGATTTAACAGATTGCATTATAAAATTGTGTAATTGAAAAAATGTATTAGGAACATTGATCAAGTTACCATACTTGATTTAAAAAGCTGGCATAGCACTTAACAGAGTTACAGCCACCTTTGTAGTTCGATATCATAGAGCTAGTCAACAACTTATTGAGTAGATGAATAGCTAATTTTACTTCTGCTCAGCTTTGGAACTGTGCACAGTATTACATTTCTTTGTAATGGATTTTGCACTGGTGTGTGTAGTGCTATTGTACCTTGCTGATCACTGATTGCCTTCTAGATTACATTGTAAATTCAAAAATATTCCTATTTAATGCAGATTTGTCACAGAATAATTGTCAACACCAATTCTTTTCTAACAATGATTATATTGTGTATTTATATATTTACTCACCATATTTTGAGTGGCCGACCCCTACAGAGCATGTCGGATGTCTAGGGGCCCACTTACACAAAAATATATAGCTAATATAAATATATAGCCTACAGTATCTAACAATTTATGATTAAATTTCAATACAGCAAACGCTTCAATACAACAATATATAATTTTATATAAAGATATAGCCTATCTAACAATTTATAAAAAAATATTTCAAAACGGCATAATATCATCGAATATGTAGATTTAGAAAAAAATGTTATTGTGTAGGAAGCAAAGTTGCTAGTCGTAATACATATTTTATTTCAAATTTCAAATACATAAAATCACTATGCATAAAACTGAATTGTGAAGTTAAATGTATGAAGTGGCGCCGTACAGTAGCTATTGGCTAGGATTCTTGCCTTCTCATCCCAGGGTCTTAGGTTCAAATTGATGGATTAGAACTGTAGCTTGATGGTTTAGATGGTTGCCTGGGTCCTGGGTTCAAATCCTGTTTTTTTTTTTTAACTTTTTTTTATTGTATTTTATGATCAAATTTTTTATTAGCCATACTCATGTTTTTAATTTAATAAATGAATTTTAAATTGAATTTTTTTTTTAAATGCTTTTTGCATTGTAAATAGTTTTATGTTTGTATAAAACCAAAGGATCCAATGATTATACCCAAATAGAATATGAGTATGGTAACTCCAAAAAATGACAGACATAGGCCATAATTGATTCTATGTTATTTTGTTTTTTTTTAAAACATTGTCAAGAATGACAATGTTCAAATAAAGAATGAAACGTAGAATCAATTATGGCCTCACTTCTGTTATTTTTTGGAGTTATCATATTCATATTTTATGTTTGTATGTTTTTGAAATGCAAATAAATCAAATCAAAATCACAATCGAATAGCATTCATCAACACAGTAGCATGCTGTGGTTCCATGAAGGCAGTGTTCCATGAAATACAGTAGATTGGAGACCGAAATTAGCATTTGTAAATTTATCTATTGTTACCGATGATTCATCAGGCGAGGCTACACTACAGTTTAATTACCTCTATCTCTATTGTTTAATTCAATTACTATTGTTATTGTTTACTATTTTGCCTTGGTGATGATATTTTTCAATATTTTTCAGCAATATAGATGGCTTACATACTTTCTTATTACTCTTTCAATCCCATCTTTATTCATTTAGTAATGTTGACTACTTACTAACTGTATGACTAATAGTATTAATTTTTCTTCACTTTGTACTATACAGGGCTTTCATTATACCAATTTGCAGAACATGAACTTTTTGTTTTATAAAGGATAAATAAGTTGAGGTCGCAGCAAATATTTGGCCTACATGTGGGTAATAATAAGCTTTAATTGGAATCTGAATACTAATAAGTAACTGCTAAGTGCAATCAAGGGGACACAGTGCAATCAAGACTACACTAATCAAATGACATTCTATTGTACACAAAATCTATTGTGCTCTAAAAGAAAGGAGTGTTTTAAATTAACAGTGATTCTGTTAAACTTTCCCCTAAAGTGAAACAGTCATGACACCTTTTTGAAGGTATGGTCTCGTCTTAACATGTTTGTTTTATTCGATTTGTATTAAAAATCACAGTTAAGAAGGCTTAACCTAATAAAGCATCCACTCTGTAACTTGTTTAGTCACTCACTGTTAAATGAAAATGAAATAAAATGATTATATATATAAAATAAAGCATATAGTGTGTATGTAAGAAATAATACATGTGCATACTTCCCCCATCCCAGAAAATAGAAACTTTTAAATAAATAAAAAATTTTCCCAGCAGAAATTGGCTAAGCAAAAAAAAAATTACACTCAGGGTGTTAAAAATTGTGTGATGCTGAATCCATGGCTAAAATTTCGCTCACCAATTGTGACATACAAACAGATAGTACTAGCGCTAAATATACAAGCAATAAGCAAACATTTTTCTACCTTAAGGGTTTGATTTTGCTACAGTGCAAATATTGCAGGACAACACAACTCAATGATCGTTTGTCAACCTGTCTTGTAAATTGTTGACACAAGGTAGTTCTGTGTCCCTTTGAAGTACTTCCTTTAGTGTTCCTCTTGAAAGTGGTATTAACAAAGAAGATAAGAAAAAGCAATTCAAACTCACTGTGTCCTTTACCTTTAAACTGATCCTTTAAAAAATATAATATTAAAAAACTAGTAAATATTCAATAAATTGGAATAAATGGCAAACAAGTATTTGTGAATAAGAAGCTGAATATATTAAACATTAATGTTTTGAGATTATTTTGGATTGACCCAAGGGAAATATAACGAAAATGTGTTACCAGCTACATTAACAGTTATAATAAATCATATTTGTCTACTTAGTGAGTTACCTGGATAAAACATTTAATTGCCTATTCTCTCCCAAAAGAGAACACCCCTTGAAATATACAGTATAAAATATTATAACAGTGACCTTCTGGAAGTATTGACATATAAAAGGACCAATGCAGAGGGGAATGTAAGGGACGTGTATGAGCTGCTAGACAAATGAGGCTTTTAACTACTAATTTTTTTGCCTGGAGGAAACATTTTCTGAGAGGTGAACAAAGTATTATGTCATTGTAATCGATTGAAAGTATTCAAGTTTGCATGTCAGTAAAACGGTGGGACTAAATAAACAGAACAATGAATATACTGATCAATACTGGTATTGATCAGTTTGTACCCTACTGTACTATGCCATACAGTGCACAATAGTGTTGGACAGTTGCTGGCTTCCAGGAATGTAATCCTATTGATAAATCAATCTATTGTCACTGATGCCTGGGCTCCGCACCCTGATGATATGATGAAAAAAAATTATAATAATTAGTCTGCCGTATTCATGGAGTATAATTATTATTAATAATCCATAACTCTACTGATAATATATAATGAGAATTTAATACCAATCTGCATTTAAATGCCTTTAGTAAATTAGTTTGGCTTTTTTTTTTTTTTTTTAGATTATGCGATTAACTATTAAATTTCGCAGAACGAATCTAAAGTTATTTGAGTAATTGTGTGTTTATGCGGCCATTGCATGACAAAATATCAAGTGTGTACTAAATTTTGCTTCATGACTCAGTTGGTAGAGCACACATACAGTAGTAGGTGGCAAATGTTCAAAATCCCAAATGAGGACAGTGAATTTTTCACAATCTAGTATTTTCTGATTAACATCTTACAATTATAGAATTTTAACATCTAATACTATTTTTAAAATTGGAAAACCCTTTTATTACTTACAGGCACTGTAGGGTCTGTTTTTAACTCAAAATGATTTATTTTTTTTTAGATTTTAAAATTTTAGGCAAAGCCCTAGAATTTAATACAAAAATAATGGCACTGGCAATCCTTTTAGCATATGTGATGCTCTCCATAGCCTAAAGTCTCTTTACTGTACTGTTTTTGGTTGTGAGCAAAATGTTTTTTACCTGGATTTCTGGAATACTGGATCTTATCTTAGGACTGTCCTCTCAGGAGTTAAAGATTCATCATTAATACTAAATTTCAGATCAGATATAAAATTTACATAAAATTGTTTACAACATACTGTATTCTGCTTATAATCATGTGAAAAACTATTTTACATTATTATATTCATTTTTCTCGGTTTAATGTTGTTAATATTAATGCATATTAACTTGATATTGCTTTATTTGTAACAATTAAATAAGGCTTATATCCTTGTATGACGCAAATGCAAAGCACGCAAATGAAAAACATTTATTTATGTTAGTCAAAATTATTTGGCAACGTATGATATCAATTAATTAGCATGTGACGTGGACTGGGAAGAAATGTCTCAATTACTTTTATTCTTAGGTTTTTCTTATTGCACTATTGCTATTTTCAAAACATTTTTTTTTTTTTTTTTTGGTTTCAGCTTCTTGGTATTGCCTTGATTGGAGCTGGTGCATGGGCCTGGTATGAACGGGTAAGTCTAATTTCATTCACCGAATTGATTTATTTCTTATTTACAATACATTTATGACATAACACAAATATATTTACACACTTTACTGGACCCCATTGGAAATTATGTATAATAACACTAGGGGCATGGATCTAGGCATTAACATTTTTATTTTGTATTTTAATGTACTTTTCATGTTTCTGTTAACATAAATTTGTATTTTGAATGCTAAAGAAATAAATCTTTTGAAAGTTGTGGAAATGATTTGATGATAATTAGTGTTCTTGATTGAATTTTTATTATATGCTTCCTATCACGGTTTCTGTAGGCTGATACATATTGCCCTTTGGTGACCTTTTCTTCTTGCCTTCTGGCAATGGGATTAATACATATACAGCACTATACATTGTAACTGTTATTGCTGTATTTTGTGGTTTTCTTTGTCATGGAGTTATACAGGGTTTAAATTTTCTCAAAATGCTCCATCAGCAAATAGTTGCTGTGGGCTGGCTTTACTACAGCAATTTATTCTTGTTCTGCAGCAACAATGAAGGACATTTCTACAGCAATTGCTGTTATATCTAAAGATCTGGAAAATTGTTAGATGGGCATATTAAAAAGAAAATAGAAATATAAGTGCATGGTACAAAGTTATAACCTTTAATGGATGGCCCATGTTACAAGCAATACTACCACAATATAAAAATGAAATTAAAAAAAAATGAATTTGTAATGAATAAAAGATTCTTAGAAGGTATCTTTCTTGTGGTTTGTGAGTTAAAAAATGTAATTTGTGAGTTTAATCGCACTTTTTTCAACTTGAAATTTGCATTTATAATTTGCAATTCACATTTTTGCAACTCTCACTGAACACTCTCGGGTTACTAAAAACAGTAGCTGTACCATTACCCACTATGACATTGAAATGCAAACAGGTTAAGCTAGGGTTAGATTTTCAACAAGCCCGGCCAAGGCCAAGTTTAATGGCCCAGATCCTGTGAAAATTGTACATACTGTAATATAAAAAACAAAAATCAACCTAAGCAGTGCCTAAAACTGCATTTTTAAAATCAACTCTTTTTAATTTTGTGGTTAAAATCATATCTAACTAGAAATCTAGCAAATTCCTAAATGATTTCGAAAAATTATACAGTATATTTTAGTTGTTGATCCATTAAGTGGAAAATACTATAAAAGAATGACCTTTAATAATTAGTACTCTTAAATGCATCCTAGAAACTTCCTGTAATTTTTAGCCTTTCACTGAGTAATTGCTGACAGGTAAGCATTGTATTATTTAAATAAGATAATATTTTACATTTTCAGTCTTTTTTATATAAATCATTAAATTTATTAAAGCCAGACTCTGCAGAAAAAAAAAAATTCCAAAGATCTCCAAAGTTGTTTATCCTCTAAAGTCTGGGTATAATGTTTACCTATTTATAGATTGAGAATGAACGAAATACCATTTGATTTGCTGCCTTAAGTGACCTGTTATCACAGCGATGTTTATACAATACAATCATCCATCTGCCTGCCTGTCCGAGAAAAGGTGCACGCCCCAGTATAGGCTTGCACCCACTTCCTTGTTTTCCCCTCCCAGATACCTCCCTGAATGAAAACTGGGCATAAAATATCAAATTAAACTCAAGTAGAGTATCACTTCAAATTGCTTTTCCTTAGCCCCCAGTCACTGGTTGATGGGATAGCTACCTAAAAGTAACTTCGTACAGTTTGATTATATTTTAATTGGACTTTTTTTTTTGACAGGGCGTATTTGAAAACCTTAATCAACTGACCTCGGTCACTATTGACCCAGTTTTACTCCTCATAGTACCAGGTGGTGTAATATTTATACTGGCATTCGCTGGATGCATCGGTGCGCTCAGGGAGAACATCAACCTTCTACGATTTGTAAGTCAAATTGTTAAGATATTTTAGGAAATTTTATTTAATTTTTTTTTTATCTATTTGGTATAACAAAAGATACACAATGGCAGCAAAGGTTGAAATGATTGCATTTACATAAATATGTAAATATTATAAAATATTATAAATAAAATAAAATGATTTCCACATGAAATAGCATCATCATCATTCTTTGTCTATCTCTGTTGCCTTGTCAACTGCCAACTCTGTATATCTTTATGAGTTAACTGTGCTCATTAACTGTGCTCATCCACAAAAGGTTTTGTCCACAGACTTAAATCCACATACTCATACCACAGGTACTTATAACAAGGAGTGTTTCCTATTTGGCATTTCCTTTTGGTTTCTTGAAAATGTTTTTACAGGCTCCATATTTATAAGGCTAAACTTTTGTAAAGAGAATAACCAGCACACTTAATTCACACACCCTTTCTTGGATACAACATTAACTTTAAGTGTAGTTATTAAAACTACATAATGATAGTATACAATATGTGTAGTGTAGTGTTGCATCATTTTTTTTATTGCATGCGGTGAATAGAACTTAATTGTGCACTATCAATCCATCAACTTTAAAATTGTGCTGGTAACTAATAAAAACATCCCGATTTAGTGTGCAAACAAGTCTATTAGTTTTTAGGTACAGTACAATGTGATCTTAAAGGCCCAAAAAATTGAGGCATTGCCAAGCAGAGTGATATTGCAAAATATGAAGACCATTTAAATCTTGGATTTGTCCGGCTTGCGCAATAAAATGTTTTTTTTTTGCCTTGTTTAGTGTACATATGTTTCTGAGAGTACTCCAGTTATCTATGTTGTTTGTGTTTCTGTTTGTTGGTGACATTAATTGCTACTACTTCTTGTAATCATTGCCTTTACAAAAGCTCTCAAATTCAGTCCTATTTTATTATTTTTTTTTAACCCATCTGAGTAGATTCTTTGAAGACTTTAAAAGTATGAACATCCTAAACTTTCCATCTTTGATTGGTTGTATTGCACATATACAATCACTGTTATACAGTATTGTGCTCTATGCATGAAAAATGTAAATGAGGGTGCCACATTCAAATCAACCTTGTGGTTTTTTAAACTCAGTTCATGGACATTAAATAAAGAAAATTAAATTTAATGAGTGCAACGCTATTTAAAGAACTTATTCTTGTTTGCAATTACATTTTTGTGTTTTCTAATTTTACAGTACAGTGTAATATTAGGTCTTATATTCTTTTCGGAAGTTGCTGTTGGAGTGTTGGCCTATGTTTACAGAGACAAGGTAAATAAACGAATTATATAGACAATATAAACAATATTTAAGACCTTCATAATGCAAGGGACCAGAGTTTAAATTCTTGTAGAGAAGATTTGTTTGTTTAATAAAATAACATTATTATATTTCATTATTACCTCAAAATTTTTTAAGTTTATCTCTTCGTTTTTAAAACGTTCCATTGATGTACAGTTTGTTTAATTCTTCTTCCTTTTCTAATAGGCCAACACCATAATTGAATGCTTCGGCCCAGTAACTCTTTTTTTTTCAGGAGTGCCATACCTGTTTGTGCAGTATTTACAATTATTATTTTTAAAGTTTTTATTTTATTTAAAACTAGCGATGTAAATTACTGCTAAGATTACTCTTATTGGCAGCAGAAGAATATTTAATTTTGGACTATATATTCAAACTGAAATTCCATTTATTTTAAATTTTCAGCTTGAGTCGCAAGTTTCAGATACCATTGATAATATTATTAGAAATTACCGAGACAACGTTGACCTTCAAGATTTGATTGACTTCTTACAAAGTTATGTAAGTTTGGAGCTGTAGTTTCTCTTTTGTGTTTATCCAGCAGACTAATATATAGTACAGTAATAAATCCATTCCAGGGTAACAAGGAATTACGTTTCTAAACCTGTCTGCTATATGATTTACAGTCTTAAATTTTGTAAATATTTACATACCTTGTGTGTTGGCCTTCCTCAGCTTTGTAAATATTGTTGTATAATTAATAACTAATTAGTAAATAGATAGTAAATAAATGTGACAGTAGATGTTCTGCTGGTAAACTATGTATGGGTGTTAGCCGATTTGTATTTAAGTATTCATTTATTCATTCATTCATTCACTCAGCCATACTTTCAATCATTCATTCGTTTATGCATTAAGCTATACATTCAGTCATACTTTCATTCATTCATTCATTCATTCTTTTATTCGATCATAAAAATAATAATGTTAATCTTACTAAGGCCAATGCACTTTATAGTTTAACAGAACGATTAATAAATAACAAGTAAAAGATTTTTAAGTGTGTATTTTTTTTCTGTACACAGTAGATTGAAGAAAATATGGAAATCTCAGAAGTACATGACTGTGAATCATATTATGCTTACTGCCAACTTTTACTGATGTTACAAATTTGTTTTTCATTTTAGTTCCAGTGTTGTGGTGGCAGGACCTATGAAGATTGGGAAAGAAATCTGTATTTTAATTGTTCCTTGAGGAAAAGCCCAGATGCATGTGGTGTGCCATTCTCCTGTTGTCGAGATCAGGTAATTAGTACAGATATATGTGTTACTGTATGTGTTTTGTAAAACTCATTTGTGTAATGTGTTGTATCAAACACATTTGTTTATTGTTATTTTCTCCTTTCTGATGTGATATTGAGCAGGTATGTGTTCCTATGCTGCAGTGTCAGGTACGTGTGTCCTGTTAATATGTTGTTTTATGTGTGTCCCTTGTTTTCTGACATGTTCTTTTACATTTTGTTCCTATGTTGATGTGTACGTATGTGTCCATTGTTTTTCCTATTGATGTGCTCATTCTTGTTCTGTTTTTTTGTTGATAATGTGTTTTTTGTGTGTTCTGTAGCTGTTGTTGTCTCCACACTTACTTTTAGCTCAATTTTAAAACACTAAGTATTTTTTTGTATGAGCAAAAAGAGAAAATAATGATTGTATAAATAATTAGGACATCAGAATTACTAATCTTTTACTTAGCATTTGCATACATTAGGAACTCGATTTAAATATTTTATTGTTTATTACCATTATATCAATTAATTGTATGTATTTTTTTGTCTTTTAGGGCATAGTGATCAATACACAATGTGGGTACGGTGTTCGGAATCCGGTATGTACTCTAAATTTTGCATTATAATACCTATACTAAAATGTCATAATGATGTCAGTTCCATTCAGCAGCAGCTCTCAAGCAGTGGGGAAATGGCAAACCATTGATGGCATTTTTCCAGATCATTTTTGGCCCTAATCCATGCCTACTCAGCCTGCCACTATTTGACCTTGTTAATTAAAATAATTGTTCTCTGCTAGAAATGTTTTGAAGGAGGTTTATGTGGGTGTGGGTGTATACATTTTTCTTCTTAATTCTTCTTGAGCCACAACCCATAATGCATGAAAATCATCTTAATAATAAATAATTCAATCTATAGAAAAACTTTAAACTTGCTCTAAATTATTCCCGTTAAGTTTCACAGCCCACTTGAAATCCGACCTAGATTTGGGGTCTGTCTCGTAGAGAATGGTGTGTTTTGAATTTAACCACATTTCAAGTGTAAATGAAATGTCATTGCGTATTGAGCTCTAATATTTATTCTGCTATGTCTCTTTTTAAGGGTGTTGATGCTGTTTCAGTAGTTTACACTGAAGGGTGTGTTGATGTCATCCGGCAATGGATAATTGATAATTTTATCAAGATTGTTGCTGCTATTGCAGTTGTTTTATTAGTAGAGGTAAATATTTTTATATGTATTATTTATTTATATGCATTTCATTATACATTGTGATTCAAGATTCAGTCGGTGATTGATAAATGGAGGCATAGAGACAAAAGTCATGTTTGAGTTAATTACTTTTGATAAAGACGTAGGGTAACTACCATGGTCAAATGATGCTGTTCTTTGCACTTGGAATTAAATACACACAGGTTTTGAGATAGTAAGATATTGCACATGTATGGTCAATGTGATTGTGGATACAGTTAGTGAAAAGTTTAGTGATGCTGCATTATTTAACCGAGTCACGTGAAAAACAGACTGGTTATTCTTCATTAACATTCGCTGTTTACCATAAAGAATGTTATGTAGGCTGAACCGTGCTTGGAACGTTGAATTTTAAAACACTGCTGAGTACAAGAAAATTCAGTTCCTAGCATCGTGAGCAAAAAGCTCAACATAATCTGATCACATGCAGATCATTTTAAGTACAAACACTGCCTCATGAGCAATGTGGAAATTATCTGAATAGTGTGATATTTTTGACCTTGCAAAGCCAAATCTGCATCGTGTACTTCACAAAACAGCTCCGATTATTAATGATTTCCTTGACAGAACAGTCATACACAACAGTGACACTGCTGCACACATCAAAACCAGAATTTTATGATAGTATTCTTTTATCATTTGCGTTAATGTTATTTATAACAAAACACCTAACACATACATATGATATTGTTAAGCTTAATTATTCGATTACACGTATTTATACATTTTCTAGTCTGGTCTTAGTTTAAGTATACACTGTGTTTATTATTAATGAAATTTCATTTTTTGTCTATTTAAAGTCGGAGTTATACTCTGGACTTGACCATTCTAAGGTCAATATTAGATATGATTGTCTTTGTATAACTTCTATGAAATAGATACCTTGTTCAAAGCAAGATGCATATTGTCTATTACTACTACCACTCATTTATATTATTTGACAGGAATATTATTGACGATTTCCTTCCTTAATTTATCTTAGTTGTGTTTCTTTTTTTGTCTTCAGATATGAAAGCTTTTCAGAAATAACTAACACTCATTTGATTTATTTCCTTTCAGATATTTGGTGTGTGTTTCTCTCAGTCTCTTGTCAATGATATACAACATCAAAAGGCAAAGTGGCGGTAGTTGTTGCCGCAACTTTGATTTCTGATTTGGAAAAAAGCGGTCAAGAAATTGTGACTATTTTATAAATTAGACTTTTTTAAAGCCAGATTCATAGACTGACATGCTTCTATCAAAACCTTAATGTAACTGGGCAATACGCGATGGAATGTCTTAATGCAGCCAAGGCAATATGTGATAGAACGTTACTAACAGCTGACTCTTCACGGTCTCACGAACCGAACGCTCACAGTGTTACTGAATCATCAGTCAACATAGTTTGAATTGGGAATATTACTTGTAAATAATATTATTTTTAATGAAAAATTTTATTTCCCCCGCATTTTATCAAAGTATGTCCAGTTAGTTGGTAATTTTAGTTAGAAATAAGTCAACGCATATTTATTTATGAGTCTATTATTTTTTTAAATTTTATAATGTAATGGATTTTTATATTTTAGAAATATTTACCTAATCTTTTTAACTTTAAATTTGTTCTTGTGTACATAAGTGCAAGTTAAGTTATTGAGCCAAGGGGTAAATTCAAAGAGCATACTGATAGGTCCTGTAACCATTTATTAGAGGGAGTCCTATCATCATTGCTCTTAGACCCCTGCAAATATTTAATAATATTTGAATCTCATTTAAATACATTTGCGACTTCACCAAATACAAAATGTGTAAAAATGGTGGCATTTGCTGCTTTACTATAATACATACTGTATATGATGAAAACGATTTACGATTCCTGAGCAAAGAAGCTCCAAACTGTATGTAATATTTTTCAACTACCCTGAATAATTTTCCACCGGTAGAACAAAACAACAAAATTGTGTTGCAGGCTTTTTTATGGAATGATTTGAAAAAGAAACCTCAATGAGTTTGATAATGGTACTTTGATTAATTTGAAACCATAACTATGTATTTAAATATTTTACTAATCAACATAATACACAGGGTGAGTGATGGCTAGCTATGAACCAAAGAGTATAGAATTGGAAGAGGTCCGACTCTTCTTATTTTGCATGCATGCAATGAAACGAAAAGCAAAATACTACCACGAGATAGGTGGCGCCCTATTAGAATCTGAATAGGGTTTGAAACTCTAGCATGCGTTATATAGACTATGGCGAGTCAAATTATCATTAAAACGTAAATAGAGATATCTTAGTTTTTAGTAGAGATGTCTTAGTTTTAAATTGTGATTAAATGACAATTTGGATTGTCATAATAGACACAGCTCACGATATTAAGTATGCGTTCGATTTGAACGCCTTTTACGTTCTTTTGAAAGACGCCCTCTATTTAGTAGTAGTACTTAAAAAACCTCAACAGTTGGACCTCTTGCTTTTCTATACTCTTTGTTTGAACTTTAAAAGTATTACCAAGCCTAATGATAAAAACACATTCAGGACCAAACTGATTTCAAGTGTCACTATGCTTTGACAAGAAATTTTTTAGGGCTTTTGTTGGTTTGGTTGTAAATTTATGCAATTTGTTCTCATTTTGAATTTGTGTTAGTAGTTGCTTTGTATTTATGTTTTTAATTACTTTTATGGTAACATTCAATAATGTGAGTCCTTAATTTACATGTAGTTTATATTAATGCCTTTATACAAGAATAATACAGGGTTTTAGATTGGTTCGTGTAGAGTTTTTCCAGATGTATTCGGGATTCTCTTGTAGATTAAGGGTTTAGTATTCACTAAATATGTGTTTTATAGCCATCAATTAGTAAGTTTGTTTATAAAATATTTCAGAGGCTGAATAAGACAATTCATTGTTTGAATTGCGCATGACCATGTCCAAGGTGAATCCACATTAACCTATGTTGTGTTGTGTGTATGCTTGTTTATATTGATTCACCTTGATATGGGTATGCACGGTTCAAGATACAAATTGGCTTACTTTCGTGGTAGTTCCTATAGTATTAAAAAAATCCCAATTTTTGCTGCATAATACCAAAAAGAGGTTCATTTACATTTTTATGTTGTTGATTTTACTTACCTTTTGTTATATTTTATATTACAATTATCTAATACTGATGCAGGTATAAAATGAATAATATACAGTTGTCAAAGTAATTTGTACTTAGGAAATTGTTAAAGAATCATTACAATTAACATTAACATCAACTTGTCATACCTATACATGCTAGTAAAAGTGTGCTGTTTATGTAGAGCATCTTTATTCTGTGTAATTTATATAAATAAATAATGTAACATAATAGGATTATGTTAGTCTTAATCTGATATAATTCCATGTGATTGATTCAAAGATTCTTAATGTATTACTTAAAGCTACTCACTGTGCTAATAATTACAATAATATATATATATATAT